CGCTGTTCGCCATAACCTGTCCCTCCACAAGTGTTTCACCTCGAGTGGAAAACGTAAAGGGCGCCGTGTGGACCGTGGACGAGGTGGAGTTTTGCAAGCGACGCCCACAGAGATCGGCTGGGTATGTATTACACCACATGCTTAGCTGATGTTTTGACGCTGGTGCCGGTGGTTTAAGGTGCACGCCTTCTCCCTATGCCAGCCAGGTGGCTGCGTCCGTAGCTCAGCAGCGGTATCGTTCCGCTATCGGTTCTTGTTCAGCTCATTTTGTGTTTACTACCCTCAACGTCTGTCACCATCGGACTGCGTAACAACGGCTCCTTCCGCAAGCATTTTGTACAGCTTTTAGGCGGATTCATTTGGTTCTGGGCATGAAATGTACTTGTGATTGAGGTGTAATGCGAATACTGTGTGTGCTTTGAAGTTATTCTCCCGTATTGCGACTGACGCTATGAAGGCACAAGCGCAGGTGAAATGCCTGCAGCACTAAAAACAGATGTCTTGCTTCGTCAATGCCGTGTGTGCTGTATGCAACCGATTCAAAACTCCCACGAGGTACTAGTCAGTATTTGGCCCTCTCCGAGTATGTTTGCTGCTTGTCTTCACCGCACTGACCACGTGCTCCCGCGTTTCCAGCCAGACGCGCAGCCCCACCCTGTCCAGCAGTCCCACCCTCTACGGGGACACCATCAGCGCTGGGCTGCAGGTGAGCAAGGCCGGCGCAACACACGCGCCACGTGGCGCGCCTTGCACATGTGAGGCCACACTGGCGCGCTCATCGGCTGACTTGGGTGGATTTGGCTTGCAGCACAAGATGAGAACGAGTCGGGCTGAGCGCAGTTGTTTCTACAATTATGCTAGCGCGAATGCAAGCGTCTTGTGGTACAAGAAAAAAAACAAAACATTTTTGTAACCGAAAGATTTTTCACTGTCGGTAATATTGGAGAGTCCTGAGTAAACAAAGAGATGGCTCGTCGTAAGGCCGCCCTCCGTCTAGGTCCGGTACCCCTCCCCGATACCCCCGCTCACCGCCACCCGGCGTGTTTCAGTCTGCCCTGGTTGACTCGAACCTGCCGTTCATGACGAACGCCGCTGAGCGCCTGCGAGAGATGAGAGAGCGCGAGGCACCCACTCTGCTGGGGCTGCAGCGGAGGTCCCCCAGCCCGCCCCGGCACAGGGCGCCCAGGTACTGCCCCGCGGCTGTTGCTCCGGCAGCGGGCCGGCGCCGGGTCTTCACAGACGCCCACCTTCACCACGTGACCCTCGTTCGCCGCGTCACTCGTATCGGCTCGTCTTTCGGTCGTGTCTGCGCGCAGCGTTTTGGTGCGGAGTGTTTCGGCTATCTCCCGGGTTTGACAGATTTAGGATGCAGTTTACAGTGATAAGCCTATGCGTGCTGTCATCGCCTAATGTGTAACCGTTGGTTATGCCTATAAGCCCCGTACTTAGTTTGCCATACTTTGCTTAGCGGGCAAATAAACGATCGCGATCGCTGGATAAAAAGCCACAGACGCGCACAGATGTTCAATCTGTGCGTTTCTACGTATCTATCTTGTGCGTATCTATCTATCTGATCATGACGATCTTACTTCATTACGATCAGCGTATCATTGCAGTGGCCTGGAAGCTGTCGTGACCCTCACACGTTCGTGACCCTCACACGTTCGTAACCCTCACACGTACGTGACCCTCACACGTTCGTGACCCTCACACGTTCGTGACCCTCACACGTTCGTGACCCTCGCACGTTCGTGACCCTCACACGTTCGTGACGCTCACACGTTCGTGACCCTCACATGTGCGTGACCCCCACACGTTCGTGACCCTCACACGTACGTGACCCTCACATGTGCGTGACCCCCACACGTTCGTGACCCTCACACGTTCGTAACCCTCACACGTGTGAACCGACTGCAGCCGGAGTCCCGAGCACGAGATCCGGATGCCGGTGGCCAGTCTGCTCAGCGACACCCACGGCCAGCACGAGTTCAGCGAGGACCCGCGAAGCCCAGAGGTGGACTCTCGCGACGGTGGCGCCAGTCGCGACGTCATGGCCGCGCAACCAAACAATGATGCGGAGGTACGATGGTAGATGTCGCTGTGGTACGTCGTCAACCCTTGCAAAAGCTGCACGAATTTTTGTCAGTTTTTTTTCTGGTTTTGTGGGGAGTCGACAAGTGTTGAATCGTATGGTGCTCATTGGTGCATGATTGGCTCATGTCTGTGTAGCCCACACTGTATGCGGCCGATTACGTGTCCGTCCGTTCTCACGTGTTCTGAGCGTGACGCGGTGTTCGTCGTCCGCAGGACCTGAGCATGCCGGCCGTGAAGATGGAATACACTGAGGGCGGCCAGTCGGTGCCGGAGGCGGCGAGCGCGTGAAGCCCCCCGGCCCCACAACGGCCGACAGGCGGAGCAGCTCTCCGCCCGCGGCGGAGCTGCACCAGCCGGCGTCGGCGGCGAGACGCCCGCGCGCGCGCCGATGCGTCTCCGTCACCTCAAATCAAACATTGCGTCGCGCCGACCCGCGCGGGGTCGCGCGCCGTGTGACGCCGCCGCCTGCCGCGGCGCCGCGGCGCCGCATCGGCCGCGGCGCGGACTGAGCCCGGCCCCGCGGCCGGTCCGTTTTGTACCTGTGTATATTTTTTGCACGTACCTGTGTACATGTTGTGCATAGTCGTCCAACCTCATCCTACGGGTTTTGTTGCGGAGCGCTGCGTGTGTTGTTGCCACCGCCGACAAGAGCAGTATTTCACCAGTCTTCTCACCCACTCACAGGTTCACCAAATGGATCACTCGCAGCAATAGTTCCCTATTAGTACAGGCAGTACAAAACTAGCGCGGTGTCTCTAGGACGGTCGATCTCTTGGCGCCAGTCGTGTCGCCGCGTCGCGTGCGAGGTGGGCGCCTGGGCCTCCGGCGGACGCCGCGCGCCGCCGCCCACTCCAGTGCAACTCCATAAGTGTCGCAGCCGCGTTTTCGTACGGCTCAAGCTGCCAGTGCGCCAGCGTCGCGCACCGACGGCCGCGCGCCGGTCGGCGGATGTGTGCGGGGACGACACTGGGGTGTCAGCTCAGACGTATCTCGGCGCGGGCCGCCGCCGCCGCCGCCGCCTGCGCTCTGAGCTTAGGACTTTGGTCACGAGGTGGCGCGCGCGAGGCCCCGCCAGCTCCGAATCCACGGCCCTCGCCGAGCCGACGACTCGGTGTGACCAGTCGTAGCGGTCGATTCAGGGATAATGAATCGGGTCACACGTTTGGCGGCAGTCTGGGCCAATGAAATTGAGTCGCGGGTTTTGCCTTCGGCAGTGTTGATTGTTTCATTTGCATCAGTAATTTATTTAGTTCGTTGTGTAGTCTTACTGTATCAATGGAGCTACTCACTGTAAAGAAAACCTAAATCACTGTGTTCTTACATTCCTAGCTCAAAGCGACCTTGAGAAGTGTAGTGTCTTTTTCTTCATTTGACACGTCCGCCTCTTAAAGATGTCTTCTTTGTAACCTCCCCCGCCATTATTTTGATGCATTGAGAATCAGACATGCTTTTAATGTCCCTGCATCGCGTACGTCATCAATGAGTTCATGAATGGTGCTTAATTCTTGTAATGCTTGGATTCAGCTAAGGGCCGTCTACAGCCAAACAGAATCAAAACTACGTATTTCGTAGACCTTATTGTACTGTGCAAGATATCCATAGCACAAGCAATAACAGCTGTGTCATAGACTGTTGCGATGGACCTTTGCCCTCAACTGTCGTAACCGCCCACACGTATTCCTAGCTCTGTTTTGACATGTGAGCATGAGTGGGTAGGGAGAAGTGATCGCTCTCCATATCATACTGTTGTGTAGTCAACTGGTTTCAGTAGACAATAAACGCTTCTCCCTCCAAGTGTACTCGTTTCTGCTGCTAGCCCTGTCGTATAAAGATGATATTTTTCATCCATTTTATTCCTCATAATTTGAGAAGGAAACTGAAGTTACTTTAAACGCAGTAAATCATCACGTCCATGGAGCGCATACCTTATAGTCACTTTTAATTGTTCTCTTTTCGCATTAAAAATGTTTACTCTTCGCATGCAATTGGAAATGGAACGGTTAACTTGCGGGGACATTACAAGGTTACAGAGATGCACGGCGTAATCAAACGTCTTCCATGCAGATATGCACATATGCCCTACGAATACTAAAGCAACCTTTCGAAGAGGTGCGCTCCTTTTTGCTGAGACCCGCATATCAGCACGACCAGTTGCCGCAAAACCTATTAAGAGCGTCACAGGCTGGCCCTGACCGAGCCGGGGTACTGAAGCTGCACAATGTCTGGTCAGCTGACGCGAGAACCTACTCAGTCAGGGGCTCTGAACGAGCCGGGGTACTGAGGCTGCACAATGTCTGGTCAGCTGACGCAAGAACCCACTCAGTCAGGGGCTCTGAACGAGCCGGGGTACTGAGGCTGCACAATGTCCGGTCAGCTGACACGAGAACCCACTCAGTCAGCGCCCTGAACGAGCCGGGGTACTGAGGCTGCACAATGTCTGGTCAGCTGACGCGAGAACCCACTCAGTCAGGGCTCTGAACGAGCCGAGCCGCTGAGGCTGCACAATGTCTGGTCAGCTGACGCGAGAACCCACTCAGTCGTGGCCCTGAACGAGCCGAGCCACTGAGGCTGCACAATGTCTGGTCAGCTGACGCTGACGCTGGGGTACTGAGGCTGCACAATGTCTGGTCAGCTGACGCGAAGACCTACTCAGTCGTGGGCCTGGATCGTAATTACGTACTAACTGCAGACGCACATCCATGTTTTATATTCTGTTGAACAAGCGGC